CATCAACAGAATGACTAGGAGGAGGAGCCCCCAACACAGAAAAGACTCAGAGATTATGACTTATGCTGCAGATTTACAAATGGATGCAGACATAACCAAGCTGTTGGAGATGGAATTCAGGCTAGCAACTGTGAAGACAATGGCTAGAATGGAGAAATCAATTAATGGCAACATAGAGTCTCTAAGGGCAGAAATAAAAGGTGAATTGGCAGAATTTAAAAATGCTATCAATGAGATCCAATCCAATCTAGATAATCTAACAGCTAGGGTAACTGAGACAGAAGAGAGAATAAGTGACCTGGAAGACAATATAATAGATAAAAAGGGAAAAGAGGAGGCCAGGGAAAAACAACTCAGAATCCATGAAAATAGAATCGGAGAAATAAGTGACACCATGAGGCGTTCCAATGTCAGAATAATTGGAATCCCAGAGGGATTGGAGAGAGAGAGAGAGGACTAGAAGATGTATTTGAGCAAATCGTAGCTGAGAACTTCCCTAATCTGGGGAATGAAACAAACATTTGAGTCCTAGAGGCAGAGAGAACCCCTCCTAAGATCAAGGAAAACAGGCCAACACCCCGGCATGTAATCGTAAAACTGGCAAATCTTAGAACCAAGGAAACCATCTTAAGGGCAGTTAGGGGTAAGAGATTCCTTACATACAGAGGGAGGAACATCAGAATAATGTCAGACCTATCCACAGAGACCTGGCAAGCCAGAAAGTCCTGGCAAGACATATTCAGGGTACTAAATGAGAAGAACATGCAGCCAAGAATACTTTATCCAGCAAGGCTTTCATTTAGAATGGATGGAGAGATGCAGAGCTTCCACGACTGGCAGAAGTTGAAAGAATATGTGGCCACTAAGCCGGCCCTGCAAGAAATATTAAGGGGGGGGGTTCTATAAAAGGAGAAAGACCCCAAGAGTGATCTACAACAGAAATTTACAGGGACAATCTATAAAAACAATGTCTTCACAGGCAACATGATAACAATTAATTCATATCTTTCAATAATCACTCTCAACATGAATGGCCTAAATGCTCCCATAAAACGGCACAGGGTTGCAGATTGGATAAAAAGACAGGACCCATCCATATGCTGTCTACAAGAGACTCATTTTGAACCTAAAGATACATCCAGACTGAAAGTGAAGGGATGGAGATCCATCTTCCATGCCAGCGGACCTCAAAAGAAAGCTGGGGTAGCAATTCTTAGATCAGACAAATTAGATTTTAAACTAAAGTCTGTAATAAGAGACACAGAAGGACACTATATCATTCTTAAAGGGTCTATCCAACAAGAAGATCTAACAATTGTAAATATCAATGCCCCCAACATGGGAGCAGCCATCTACATAAGCCAAGTGTTAACCAAAATAAAGAGTCATATTGATAACAATATGTTAATTGTACGAGACCTCAATACTCCACTCTCAGCAATAGACAGATCATCTAAGCAGAAAATCAACAAGGAAACAAGAGCTTTGAATGATACATTGGACCAGATGGACCTCATAGATATTTACAGAACATTCCACCCTAAAAAAACAGAATACTCATTCTTCTCGAGCGCACATGGAACTTTCTCCAGAATAGACCATATACTGGGTCACAAATCAGGTCTCAACCAATACCAAAAGATTGAGATTATTCCCTGCATATTCTCAGACCACAATGCTCTAAAACTGGAACTCAATCACAAGAAAAAATTCGGCAGAAATTCAAACACTTGGAAGCTAAAGACCACTCTGCTCAAGAATGTTTGGGTCAACCAAGAAATCAAAGAAGAACTTAAATAATTCATGGAAATCAATGAGAATGAAAACACATCGGTCCAAAACCTATGGGATACTGCAAAGGCAGTCCTAAGGGGGAAATACATAGCCATCCAAGCCTCACTCAAAAAAAATAGAAAAATCCCGAATTCGCCAACTAACTCTACACCTTAAAGAACTAGACAAAAAGCAACAAATGACGCCTAAGCCACGCATTAGAAGAGAAATAATTAAAATTAGAACAGAAATCAATGAATTAGAAACCAGAAACACAGTAGATCAGATCAATGAAACTAGAAGTTGGTTTTTTGAAAGAATTAATAAGATTGATAAACCACTGGCCAGACTTATCCAAAAGAAAAGAGAAAGGACCCAAATTAATAAAATTATGAATGAAAGGGGAGAGATCACGTCTAACACCAAGGAAATAGAAACAATTATTAGAAATTATTATCAACAACTATATGCCAATAAACTGAGCAATCTGGATGAAATGGAGGCCTTCCTGGAAACCTATAAGCTGCTAAGACTGAAACAGGAAGAAATTGACAACCTGAATAGGCCAATAACCAATAACGAGATTGAAGCAGTGATCAAAAACCTCCCAAAAAACAAGAGTCCAGGGCCTGAAGGATTCCCTGGGGAATTCTACCAAACATTCAAAGAAGAAATAATACCTCTTCTCCTGAAGCTGTTTCAAAAACAGAAACAGAAGGAAAACTTCCAAACTCATTCTATGAGGCCAGCATTACCTTAATCCCCAAACCAGGCAAAGACCCCATCAAAAAGGAGAATTTCAGACCAATATCCCTGATGAATATGGATTCCAAAATCCTCAACAAAATCCTAGCTAATAGGATCCAACAATACATTAAAAGGATCATCCACCACGACCAAGTGGGATTTATCCCCAGGATGCAAGGGTGGTTCAACATTTGCAAATCAATCAATGTGATAGAGCACATTAATACGAGGAGGGAGAAGAACCATATGGTCCTCTCAATTGATGCAGAAAAAGCATTTGACAAAATACAACATCCTTTCCTGATTAAAACTCTCCAGAGTATAGGGATAGAGGGAACATTCCTCAAGCTCATAAAATCCATCTATGAAAAACCCACAGCAAATATCATCCTCGATGGGGAAAGCTGAGAGCCTTTCGCTTAAGATCAGGAACACGTCAAAGGTGCCCACTCTCACCACTGTTGTTCAACATAGTACTAGAAGTCCTAGCAACAGCAATCAGACAACAAAAAGAAATAAAAGGTATTCAAATTGGCAAAGAAGAAGTCAAACTCTCTCTTTTCGCAGACAACATGATACTTTATGTGGAAAACCCAAAAGACTCCACCCCCAAATTACTAGAACTCATCCAGCAACTCAGTAATGTGGCAGGATACAAAATCAATGCACAGAAATCAGTTGCTTTCTTATACACTAACAACGCAACTGTAGAAAGAGAAATTAGAGAAACGATTCCATTTACAATAGCACCAAAAACCATAAGATACCTCGGAATAAACCTAGCCAAAGAGGTAAAGGATCTATACTCTAGGAACTACAAAACACTCATGAAAGAAATTGAAGAAGACACAAAAAGATGGAAAAATATTCCATGCTCATGGGTCGGAAGAATAAACATTGTTAAAATGTCTATGCTACCCAGAGCAATCTATACCTTCAGTGCCATCCCAATCAAAATTCCAATGACATTTTTCAAAGTGCTGGAACAAACAATCCTAAAATTTGTATGGAATCAGAAAAGACCCTGAATCGCCAAGGAAATGTTGAAAAAGAAAAACAAAGCTGGGGGCATCTCGTTGCCCGATTTCAAGCTATAGTACAAAGCTGTGATCACCAAGACAGCATGGTACTGGCACAAAAACAGACATACAGACCAATGGAACAGAATGGAGAACCCAGATATGGACCCTCAACTCTATGATCAAATAATCTTTGACAAAGCAGGAAAAAAACATGCAATGGAAAAAAGACAGTCTCTTCAATAAATGGTGCTGGGAAAATTGGACAGCCACATGCAGAAGAATGAAACTCAACCATTCTCTAACACCATACACAAAGATAAACTCAAAATGGATAAAAGACCTCAATGTGCGACAGGAATCCATCAAAATCCTAGAGGAGAACATAGGCAGTAACCTCTTTGACATCGGCCACAGCAACTTCTTTCAAGATACATCTCCAAAGGCTAGTGAAACAAAAGCAAAAATGAACTTTTGGGACTTCATCAAGATAAAAAGCTTCTGCACAGCAAAGGAAACAGTCAACAAAACAAAGAGGCAACCCACAGAATGGGAGAAGATATTTGCAAATGACACTACAGATAAAGGGCTGTTATCCAAGCTCTATAAAGAACTTCTCAAACTCAACACCTAAAAAACAAATAATCAGGGGCGCCTGGGTGGCTCAGTTGGTTAAGCGACTGCCTTCGGCTCAGGTCATGATCCCGGAGTCCTGGGATCGAGTCCCACATCGGGCTCCCGGCTCAGCGGGGAGCCTGCTTCTCCCTCTGACCCTATCCCCTCTCATGCTGTTTCTCTCTCTCTCTCTCTCTCAAATAAATAAATTAATTAATTAAAAAAAAAGATTTAAAAACAAAAAAACCCCAAATAATCAAGTCAAAAAGTGGGCAGAAGAGATGAACAGACACTTCTCTGAAGAAGACATACAAATGGCTAACAGACACATGAAAAAATGTTCATCATCATTAGCCATCAGGGAAATCCAAATCAAAAGCACACTGAGATACCACCTTACACCAGTTAGAATGGCCAAAATGGACAAGGAAAGAAACAACAAATGTTGGAGAGGTTGTGGAGAAAGGGGAACCCTCTTACACTGTTGGTGGGAATGCAAGTTGGTACAGCCACTTTGGAAAACAGTGTGGAGGTTCCTCAAAAATTTAAAAATAGAGCCACTGTATGACCCAGCAATTGCACTCCCGGGTATTTACCCCAAAGACACAGATGTAATGAAAAGAAGGGCCATATACACCCCAATGTTCATAGCAGCAATGTCCCCAATAGCCAAACTGTGGAAAGAGCCGAGATGCCCGTCAACAGATGAATGGATAAAGAAGATGTGGTCCATTTATACAATGGAATATTACTCAGCCATCAGAAAAGATGAATACCCAACTTTTACATCAACATGGATGGGACTGGAGGAGATTATGCTAAATGAAATAAGTCAAGCAGAGAAAGTCAATTATCATATGGTTTTATTATTTGTGGAACATAAGGAATAACATGGAGGACATTAGGAGAAGGAAGGGAAAAATGGGCGGGGGGAATTGGAGGGAGAGATGAACCATGAGAGACTACGGACCTGAGAAACAAACAGGGTTTTAGAGAGGAAGGGGGGAGGGGGGATTGGTTAGCCTGGTGATGGGTATTAAGGAGTGCACGTAATTTATGGAGCACTGGGTGTTAGATGAAAACAATGGATCGTGGATCACTACATCAAAAACTAATGAGGTATTATATGGTGACTAACATAACATAATAAAATTAAAAAAAAAATAATGGGAGATTTAAATGAGTTAATGTTTGTACTGGGCTTAGCATAGTACCTGGTACACAATTGCTCAATAAATCTATTATTGTGATTAAAAAAATAATAATAAATAAAAAAATAAAAGCCAGCTAGAGAAAAATGGCCACACCCCATCATTAATCCTGGAGATGGAGCTCTAATGAGAACTGCACCTAGCCAAAGAGTTGGGATGGGTTGGAATGGATTGCGTGAAAGCTCAGGGAGGCTGCGTTGGGGGTTAATTTGGGCTGTTGCGCCCAGAGTAATCCTGGTCCCAAGTGAAACCTGTTGTGCAGGCAGACTTCTCATCATGGCTGCTGTTAACATCAGACATCGCCTTGACTCTGTGGTGACCAGAGGGGTCAGTTGCCTATTCTGTGCCAAGAACAAACAGGCTGGTGGACTTGGCAGGCTTTGCTACCGTGACATTTACTTTTGGTTGAAACAAAAGTACTAGAAGATGGAACTAACCAAGAAGACTAAGTGGCTTTGTGACATCCAGTTTGAGTTTATACCATCTCTCTCTTTTTTAAGGTTTTATTTATTTTAGAGGGAGAGAAAGGGCGAGTGAGCAGGGGGAGGAGCAGAGGGAGAGGGAGAAGCAGACTCCCTGCTGAGCGTGGAGCCCAACGCAGGGCTTGATCTCACGACCCTGAGATCACAACCTGAGCTGAAATCAAGAGCTAGACACTTAACTGACTGAGCCACCCAGGTATTCTTTATACTGTCTCTTTTGAGTTTACACAGTTCTTTGGGTTAGGTCATACCCAAGAATCCTTCCAGAGGTGGGAGAAGGGACATAAGACAGGCTAGGATCTCAGTAACCATCAGTGATATCATGTCTGGAACAACACTGATAATGCATTAAACACTCTTACACAGAGACTGCATGCCCACCTCAAGGTGGCCAACTCTGAAGTGGGATTCAGTTTTCAGGTTGTCCAGACAGACCACCATGGGCCCTGGCAAAAGCTAAAGAATACCCTTGCATGTGTACGCATATTGCAGTGGACGAACATGTTTACCATTATCAAACACCAGACTTTTATCCCCATGTCATGGATGAGAATACAGAAACATAGACAGAGACTTTTTAAGAGATTTTCCATAGTACCAAATCAAGTTCAGGGCTCTCTATACCAGCCTGTCTCTCTTGCTATTAGAAAACTTCCCAAAGCATAAGAAATTATCAGCCATGTTCAGGGCTAGCAGGGGTGAGGGAGTGATATCAGATTATTATGGTAACCCATAGTCTTTAGAACTGTTGATCAAGGGGCACCTGGGTGGCTCAGTCGGTTAAGCATCTACCTTTGGCTCAGGTTATGATCTGACTCCCTGCTCAGCGGGGAGTCTGCTTCTCTCTCTCTCCCTCTGCCCTTCCCCCTGCTCATGCTCGCTCTCTTGTGCTCTCTCTCTCTCTTAAATAAATAAAATCTTAAAAAAAACCCAAAAAACAAAAAACTGTTGGTCAAAAGTAGGAGCCGAGAGCCTGCAGGACCTTAAAGAGCAGATGTAAGATCCTCTGCTGGAGGATTAGGATGGTGAAACAAGTCAGTTAGAGCAACAGTATAAACAGGGGAACAGTAACAAAGGCATTTTCCTGAGAACGTTGGTATCATTTTGTCTTATGACTTAACTGCCTCTCCCCCACCACCTTGCTGCCATCGTTTACTTCTGAGGATGCATGTACACCCGCATGGGGTTTTCCTGCCACTCAGGCAAACAGGCCAGGCTGTTCGCCACTTCCTTCTGGACAGGCCAGCCCCAGGCCTCAAAGAATGGAGCCAGATTCTTCTGCACCTTTTCAGAGAACTTCTTTGCCCACAGATTCATCTTGCCATCCTTGTCTTTGGGGATGCCAGAAAGCGTTTGGTACTCAGCAAAGAGCTGGGTGAATGGCTCCCACCCAAAGGCCTCCTGGAGCTGAGAAGAGAGAGAAGGGACAGGATGAGGAACCAGTTTGTGGAAGTACCTGCAACTTGCACGTTCAAAGTGTATTTCAGTTATAGTGATTCCTTCCCCTTGATCATTCATGAGCTTCCCTCCCATGATTTGCCTCTGTGTCCCTACCCTACCCTTGCACATAAATATAATCCCGTTGGCTCACTCCACCTCTTGGCCACAAAACCTATAACCCTTCTATTTAGTAGGGGACTTCACAGGGAAGCTAATACCTGAAAAGGCATAAATATTCAACAAATGAGTTATTATAATTATCTCTAATTTAAAAAAATTATATTCCCAGATACTAAATGTTTTCCTAGGCATCAGACGGGTCTGAGCCTGACTGAGATGGGAAACCCTTATATCTCACATGTTTGGCCTTTGGGACCCTAAAGGCTGGGAACTTCCAACACTTTGCAGACATAATAAAATCCCTGTTTTTATACAGCCATTTCAGATCTGTAACTATTTTCAAGGCTACTATTTTGCTCTGTGGAGCACTCCCTTGGGGCAAAACAGGAAGAAGCAGGCATATCACAAGGGGCTCAAAAAGAGAGTGACTCATGTTCACAGAGGGGCAGTCCACCTGAAAGCCACAGCCAGGAGGCCCTTGTCAGCTAAGATAATAGAGGTCTAGAATGAGCAGGGATCCTGGGGTGTCCCAGACAACTCGCCCTTTTGTGGAGGAGAATTCTGACTCTGGGGTGTAAAACCTAAGGACAGATGACATCTGGGGATCAGCTTTGACAGTTCGGAAATGTTAATGTTCAGAGCAGTTTGGGGGAGACGACAGGGCTTTGTGCATATTTCACAGGAAGCCCACCTGCTTCAGGACTTTGGCATTCTCCCATTGGGTTGGTTGGTTATTCATTTATTCATTCTAAGAACATTTCAGGTTCAAGTGGGATGACTGGAGTCAGAGAACCTTGACAACAGTTATCTCCTAAAAAGCCTCTTGTAATGCAGTTGTCCTGGAGACACACCACTGTTATCACGAAGGGACGAAGGGACGAAGGGATGCAACACTCACTTGATCCACAAAACTAAGGTGAAGAGAAACAAAGCACAACAAAACAACACCCACTTCTGGAGCACTTATTAGGAGACCATAGTCAAAACCAGTGAGTGGAAGTGCTGGGCTCCAACCTCAGGAATGACTAACTCAGAACTTCTGCTCATGACCAGTAGAACAGTAAGCTGTAGTTTCTCTACTTGGTTTCCAGAGTACTTTTCATTTCCTCTTACTTAACATCACAAAATACAAGGGGCCTGGGGCAGGTGTTATTTCCTCAGTCTTAGAGAAGTCCCACTATGCAGTCAGGTCCCCCATGCCCAGGCTGGAGGGGGTACGAAGGGGGTCCAAGGATGCTACATGATGGAGGGGTCTGCTCGCCCTCACCTCCCTGCCTTTCTGCTCTGTACCTGTAGGTATGTTTCCAGAGCTGTCCACACATTCCAGTCATGCAGGGGCGCTCCCTTTCCCAGGTGCGTTATGATTCTCTGCTTTCGTTCTGGAGGGCTCAGAGCAGGGTGGGCCTTAGCCCTGGGGATGCCCAGGACTGTTTCATGCACATAGACAGACCAGAGGTTGCAGGTAGCCTCAGTGGTGTGTGGTGGGAACTCCCACTCTTGTTGCTGCTGGTTGTGACCCAGCTCATGGATGGGTCCCCACAGACCCGTGCTCCTCATGCCTGCCTCATTGATGAGCTCTTCCACCGACTCCAGGTGGCACATGATGGGGTATCCTGAGTGCATCCAGCCTGGGAATGCAGAAGGAAGAGATGAGGCATGGCGGAGGTGGGGGGCACCCAAACCATTTCCCTTCATGCCTCTCCGCTGGGTAACTTTTCCTCACCATCCTGGCTGCCCCCAGTAATGCCAGAATCTCCATGCTGATTAGAAAGTAGATGGCTTGCTCTGCTTGGTCAGAAATGGAACAGTCTCCAGCCCCCTTCCCAGCCTTTCATGCCAGGGTTATGCCTTCCTCCCCGCTCTGGCCCTGAACAAGATGAATATACTTTACATAGCCATTCTTACTATGGTTCAGTGCTTCATTTTGTGTGAGTTTCCTATCATGTGAGTCTGTGACACTATGTCCTGTGTCTGGATTTGAGATCCCTGAGGCTACAGGTATGTCAGTTCTGCCATGTAAGCCACCGTTGTATACATTTATGCTCTTTAGCAGAGATAATCTTCTCCTTTTTTAAAGAGAAGAAAACTGAGGTCCAAAGGAATGTTCTCTATGTCAGAACCACATTTCCTTATTTTTCTTTCATGTAAACCAGTCAATACTTAACATAAACTTCTTTCCTTACTCTCCTTCCATTGCCAACTCTGACTTCTGTTTGAAGGAACATTGCTGTTTCTCCTTGAAACAATGAAGAGATGGCTCATTGCTGTGAACTCCTAGTAGCATTTTTTTCCTGAGATTGTTTTACCATCCTGTGAAATCTCACCTCGTAGATGTAAATGATTCACCTTTTCATATGGGAACATCTCTGCACCCCCATCAAGGTCTGCGTCTGTTATGTCTTTTTTCCTTTACTGGTGAGATTATGCCTTTCACATATGGGGCATTAAAAAAGACAAAAGAATGAAAAAATGGCATCCACTGACTAGGAGCACGCACCAGCTGAGATCTGCACATCAGCAACAATCCTCTCGGGACAGCAGAAAGGGAAAGGCCGGGCTGCCAGCTGGGCTATCGCATGCATCATCTCATCCCAGAGGCAGAGCACCGGCTCGGGGTCCTCCAGGGCTCGCAGGTTTGCAGTCGGCACCGTCAAGATGATATTGTCTGTTGCCAGCTCTCCCCAGGTAGCCGGGCTCTCCTGGATACAGTTCTTCCAGTCCTCCAGAGATGTCTTACCTGGGAATAAATATTGTGGGCCTGTCACCCACTTCCCCAACTTACCTTGAACTCCAGGAGGAGGACACCAAAATAATGAACTATTAACATGTGGGTCTACATGCTATGAAGTGAAGGACTGGCCTCTTGGTTCTGCCGGACGTCTCAATGGACATGGTATTCCATAGCTCCCACCTCTGCTTACATCTTGAACAGTTCTTCCCCCCTTCTGTCCGCCATTCCCTACCCTACCCTTCCTTAGCAACTGGCCCATAACTATGGTGGCATCCCCAGCACCCCCTCTTCCCTCAGCATTCAGTCCACTCACCCAGCTTGTAATACGGGGCAGGCACAGCCCTCTTGATGGTGACAGATATGGGGCCCAGTTTGCTGCCCTTTGGCACGATGACATAGAGAAGGCCACCCCAGAGGCAGGAGATGGGTAGTATGGTCCTGTCCATACAGCACTGATGAGTCACCACAGGGGCTCGAGACAGCTTGCTGGCCTTGGCCAAGTTATCAGTGTGGCAGCCAATCTGTACCTGGGGAGGTGATTCCACCATATGTAGGAGGAACTAGGTCCCTATGGTGTGTGTGTGTGGGGGGGGTGCTGTGTGTGTGATGGGTGAATGGCAGGTACTAGAAAAACACCAGCTTCCTCCTTCGATGAGCTATGCATGGAAACCTATGACATTTTAGTATCCCAAAAGTCATTGGGACTGAAAGGTATGTGGAACCATTCTTCCAGGGATTTAAACAGCTTTACAATGGATTGTCACCAGACAGACCAGGCGGGATAATCCTGAGGCTGATACTGACTAGGGCCCCGCGGAGCCTCTGTACCAGGTGGAGTCCGGGCTCTTGTGGCAGGACCTACACCAGTGTGGTGATTCCAAAGCCAGGATGAGCCAGAGGGGATACTGGTGACCCTTTGTACACAGACAGGAGACCACCCATCTAGAGGCAGCGGGATCTGGCCTGAGTGGGGAGGACTGATTCTCACTTCCCCTGTTGTCAAGGGCTCCCCTTCCTGGTCAGGTGGGTTGAGGGCTGTTTTGTCCGGAGTCCTGGGGTTGCTTTTCTTAGGTTTCATGTAAGCGAGCTCCAGAAAGGAGGCTGACACAGAAGACACCCTGTAACAGCAAGTGACCCTCAGAGCTAAGGCAGGACAATTTTAATTCTGCCTCTAGGGCCTATTTTTGTGGTCAGATGAAGCACACCCTTCAGGTGTCCAGGTAATGATGTACAACGCAGAAAGGCTGTGTGCTATTGGCCAAGCGGGTGAAGTCCTGAGGATGTGACAGGTGCTCCTGGCCCCCCTCATATCCCCGTGGGGGGAAGGGGTAAAATCACCCCACGTGGAAATCCAGGGGCTTAGGTTCAAGTACCTGAATTTAGCTCTGGCATTCAGTCCCTCCCTTAGGCTCCCTGAAATTGAGCTGCTTCATCTGTGAAATCTGTGAAATGGGCAGAATAGTCCCTTCCTGGCTTCCTGGTAGCACTGCTGAGAGCTGAGGAAAAGGAGGTGGCTCTGTGGTTTGGGGTGTCGGCAGTGGGGGTTCTGGCCTTACCTTCAGGCCGGCAGAGGCCGCGGCTTCAGACAGTAAGACTTCTGCACTCTGTCCACCTGGGAGGTAGAGCCCGGTGCTCACCCAGGCATCACAGTGGCCTGACAAAAGCCATAGGAAAGGCTGAGTTCTTCACTCACCTGCCTCTGCCGCACCTGGAGCCCCACAGCCCCTCCTGGAGGCACAGCCCCTGCCCCGCCTCCCTCAACGCATCCATGCTTCCGGCATGCATCCCTCCAAAACCCTCAGCAGAACCCCAACCCCGTCTTCCCAAAAGGACACGACAGACAATGAAGCTGGCCCACCTGAGCTTCAGTACCCGCAGTGTCCTGTGAGCCCGGGAACCCCACCTTCCCCCGGGTTCTGATGCTCTGGCCACACCCCTCACTCTGTACCTGGGTTGCTCCCATCGATCTCCACCGTGATGGGGTGTCCTGAGCTGCAGGTCCAGGTTCCAAGCTCCTGCCCCAGCTGGGAGCAGTCAGTCCCAGAGTGTGCCAGCCCCGTGGCCAGGCAGAGCAGTGTAGCCTCAAAGGAGTCACCAGGCACAGGGTGCTCCCGGCTCACAGCTGGGAGGCCTGACAGACGCAGCGTCTTACTCAGGAGTCGGTGCAAGGATATGTAAGCCGGGACCCCCTCTGCAGGGATCTGCAGGAAGGCTGCGCCATCGGCTCCCAGCTTTGCCAGCCAGTGCTTTTCCAAGTTCCCAGCCCCACGGCTCAGTGCAGCCTGGAAATCGGACAGCGCCTTGCGGAAGTGGTAGCTCCGCATCTCGGGGGTAGGGACAGGGAAACAGCCTGCGTCGAGGGTCTGAGCTAGGATGCTGAGGCCTAAGCCGTTGAGGATAACGTTACCGGGGAAACCAGCCAAAGCAGAGCGGCCTGGGTTCTGGGAGGCCCACCACCAGGCCTGGCCCCCGATCAGCAAGCCCCCACCCTCGGCCACAAACTCCTGCAGCTGCTTAGCCTCCTGGTCACTGTAAGCCACACAGCAGTAGACACGCAAGTCATGCGTCAGATGGGGCTGCAGACTGCACTCCAGGCCACGCTCTGACAGGAGGGCACACAGGTTTTTTAGATGTGTGTTCACCCCCAATTTGCCCGTCTGGCCTCTGGCCAGCCAGCGCACAGCATTGAGCAAAAAGGGCCCCAGTTTGGGTGCACAGAGGATGGCCTCATGGGCAGCCAGGACCACCCGGCCCCGGCCGTAGCGGGCAGCTGCCAGGAAGCAGCCGAGCGAGGCGTCTAACCCCAGAGGGAAGGCGAGGGCCCCGTGCACCAGCAGCTGCGAGGGCACTCCTCCCGTCTTGATGTCCAGCTCTGAGATCCCTTCCAGGAGCTGCTGCTGATCCTGCCTGAGATCATCCCCACACCTGCGAAGTGACAGGGGGACAGAGGGGCTACGGTCAAGTCAAAGAAGCACTGAAACAAGCTCACTGGATGGGGAGGTCTGTGTGGGGGTGCACGGACGACCTCGTTCACGGCCCTCTCGTTCTCACTAATAACGGCTAGGATTGGAGGATGCGATGCCATTTACTTCTTTGAGTCTAAGGCAGAGTTTTCCACCTTTTAACAACTAACTGATGGCACAACCTTGTCTAATTGGCAGTGTTTGCCCTTACTTCGTGACACACAAGATAATGGTGCTTCTTATAACCGACGTGGTCACAGACTTGATGAGATACTGAGGAGTATGGTAGCGGCACATCTTAAAGCCCACATTCTCCAAGTAAACCCTTCCAGGAATTCTTCCCATGCTAGTCAACTGAGTGGTGGATATTCTGGCTTGACTTTCATGTCTTTTTAAGTAATTACACATATAGGGGCGCCTGGGTGGCTCAGTTGTTAAGCGTCTGCCTTCGGCTCAGGTCATGATCCCAGGGTGCTGGGATCGAGCCCCACATCGGGCTCCCTGCTCGGCGGGAAGCCTGCTTCTCCCTCTCCCGCTCCCCCTGCTTGTGTTCCCTCTCTCGCTGTGTCTCTCTCTGTCAAATAAATAAAATCTTTAAAAAAAAAAAAATCAACAGACCGGCTCCTTCTTAGCATGCAGGGCTCAGTTCAGACTGCATCTCCTCGGAGAGACATTTCCCGTCCACTCTGCCTACAGCCCAACACCCTTCTCCATCCTGATTCTCCAATCAAAAGTTTTCACAGCATTATCACTAACCAAAATAACTTAATTTTTTCATCAGTTTACATGATAGTGATGTGTCCCTTTCACTAAAATGTCCCTCCACAGTATATACCATTTCTTGCACACTGAAGTGCTCATAAATATCTTTGGATGATTGAAGGGTGAACCAGAGAATAAGGGTAGGTAAAGTCACCTCCAGGAGAAGGCATAATGTCCACAGCAACCAGATCAACAGGAGACTGACCGGATTATTAATACATCTAAAGAAAAGATGGGGGGCGCCTGGGTGGCTCAATCGTTGGGCGTCTCCCTTCAGCTCAGGTCACGATCCCAGGGTCCTGGGATCGAGCCCCATATCAGGCTCCCTGCTCAGCGGGGAGTCTCCTTCTCCCTCTCCTGCTTCCCCTGCTTGTGCTCTCTCTTCCGCTGTATCTAGCTCTGTCAAATAAATAAATAAAATCTTAAAAAAAAAAAAAGAAAAAAAAAGTAATTACACATATAAACAAGTTAGGAAAAAACAGTCCATTCCTAGAGAAAGTAGTCCTACTTCTACATTTCTCAGAGCTAATTTTTTGCCAAAAAAAAAAAAAAAAAAAGCTGTGAAAACATCAAATTGCTAGCTCTGAGCTAGAAACATAAGTAAATTGTTTAATACTGCACTTAAAGATACATGCAAACACACACTCTTTCAAAATTCTCACTTAAATCTGATGAGATTTACCACTTTTATTAAGAAATGGTCTAAGTGTAATAAATTCAGAAAAAGTTTGTATTTCAAGATTTTTTAAAAAGATTTTACTTATTTATGAGAGAGAGAGAGAGGGGGAGAGAGCACAAGCAGGGGGAGCAGCAGAAGGAGAGGGAGAAGCAGACTCCCTGCAGAGCAGGCAGCCCGATGCAGGACTTGATCCCAGGGCCCTGGGATCATGACCTGAGCCAAAGGCAGATGCTTAACCAACTGAGTCACCCAGGTGCCCATCAAGATTTTTTTTACCAATTTGTAGATACTCTAAATGTCAAACAATGACAGATTAAATAAGTTACAGTTAACTATAGATGGCATACCATATGGTAATTAAAATAATTATTAGATAATATTGGAAAATGCTTAATGGAAAAAATTTCAAAATCAGATTCCAAGATACTGTGCCCTAAAAAGCCAAATTTTGTGCAATGAACCATCAAAAACAAAACCAAAAACGAGTGGAAAACATAAAACCAGACATAGAAGCAGAATCTAAAGAATATTTCTCAAAATGTCTTCAGTGTCTTCACAATTTTAATTAGCTTTATAAAACTTTATTTCTCATAATAAAAATCAAATGTTGTTAAAAAATAGTTTATTCAAGTAGCAAAACATTATTGAAAAAAGTACCTCTTGTACAGTTTCTCCTTAATTTCTCTTCAGCATAAAGGAGGAGCAAATAAAAAATTGGCATCAATCATACCATGGCTTGCTGTTTATCAGTTAAAAACAACAGATAGATGCATGCGAATTAACGTGGACAGGTGTCCAGAACATTCTGCTGAGCAAAAAAAATTCTAATAGTAGAACTTGGTGTTGCAGTTTATGTAAGACAAAAATAAAACAAAGTTAATATATGTCAATGTAAATGTCAAAAAAGTTAGGGTTAAGCCACAATAAACTTTTGGATTGTGGAATAGAGAGACAGGGTTGGTATTGAAAGAGATGGTCAAAAGAGCTTTAGCCTCATTGGTATTTTTTTTTTTTCAAATCAGGAGAATGTACGAATGTAATTTCTCGGGTAATTAAAAATTAAAAATTAAATTTAAAATGTTAAGGTAACTGCTGGAAAACTAGAGATAAAATGTATAATCTACAAATGTGTTGGGGAATTTAAGGAATAGAGAAAACTTAAGAAAGAATGCAGAAAGAAACAAAGAAAGCATAAAAACAAAGTAAGAAAGAAGACAAGAGCAAGAAATACACTGAAGCTATCACTATATATGAATGGGTTAAATTTCTATATCAAAAGACAGAGGCTCTTGGATTGAGCTAAGAACATCTTGGTATAAGCTGCTTGTAAAAGACAGACTTGAAGCTGATACACAGAAGGACTGAAAGTGCGGAAATCTATATATCAACAAAGCTGTATCTGAAAAACACAGCACAAAGAAACCAGAAGTGCCAGTATTAATATGAGATGCAACTGAATTCAAAGAGGAAAGAATTAAAATACACAAAGATGAATATTTTTCATGGGTAAAAGTTATTACACTTCACCAAAGATATAATTTTCATCGGTTTTTAGGGCCCTAAGAACAAAGCACTGAAAGCAAAAACTGCTACAAAGCAAATTAAAATTTGATGAACTCATAATCGAGTTTGGGATGGTTATGGCTCTCTCAGCATCCAGTGGATCAGTTACATTAAAAAAAAAAAAAGAGGATAGAGATGATTCGAGCAGAATGAAAACACACTTGATTAGAATCAGAGGACAATGGGGCAATATTCTCCCAGACTCTGAGGACAACAGAGAGCCTAGAATGCCATATTCCACTAATTTGTGGCATAAATATACAGAAAAAGCAGACTTTCTCAAACAGGATACGTTAAATAAAACACCAATTTTCAGCTCACACACATGCACAGAAGAGCAAATTAGATGATCTGTATCAAGCTTCTCGGAGTCCAGAGGCATGAGAATAGGGATGGCGGTGTGGGATGGAAGACAACCTGCCATTCTCCTCTATATATTTCTCTGTTGTCTGTATGTTTTCACAGTAAGCTTGAATTCCTTTAGAAATATTTTTTGTAAAAAGATGGGATGTTTCTCAAAAGAAAAATGAAGGAAGTAAGGAAGGGCAAGCATAGTAGATCATAGTAGATGGGACACCAAGTAATTCTCAACAGACTGACAATCTTTTAAGGGCAATATTAATGATCTCAGACATCTTTTTACCAATATTTAAAATCTTGTATACTATCTATTTACATTGAAGTCTGACAAATAATTAAAGTAGCTACTACTTAATGAGGCGTAATATACGCTAGGCATTTACACATGGATTATCTCTCTTAATAGTTATGATAAACCTGAGATATATTATTCTTGCTTTACAAATGAGGCTTAGAAAAGTTAGGCAGCTTGCTCCATGGTTCTCAGCTAATAACTGGTGGGAACGGGAAGCCAATCCAGGGTGGTTTGCCTCTAAAGCCAAAGTTGTCCACACAGCAGAAACTCTGAGTCTTTGGATTAAGCCCACTTGCGGTTTGCCTCTAAAGCCAAAGTTGTCCACACAGCGGAAACTCTCCTTCAGTTATTGAGTCTTTGGGTTAAGCCCACAAGTGGGTATATGGCAAGCAACACATATAGGTTGTGCAAAGGAGGCTTTAGATAGATGTGAGGTTGGGGTGCATGGGTGGCTCAGTCAGTTGTGTGTCTGGCTCTTGGTTTCAGCTCAGGTCATGATCTCAAGGTCCTGGGATCAGGAGAGTCCCACACTGGGCTGCTTGGGATTCTTTCCCTCTGCCCCCCCCTTCCTCTCTCTCACATAAATAAATAAATCTTTAAAATAGATAGATAAATAGATAGATAGATATGAAGGTGCAAACAGTACAGCATCTGTGAAAAAGGAAACACGTGTCTCTTCAGAGCTGACAGTGCAGGAGGCACTGAGGAAGAAGGGAAGTTGAGAGGTGCTGGGGTGCAGGAAAGACACCAGACTGATGTAGGAGAGATGTCAGGCTTCAAAGCCCATGACCAAGAAAGAATTCTTGAGACGTCTTTGGTGCAAAAAGGTGGTTTTATTAAGGCACGGGGAAAGGACCCGTGGGTAGAAAGAGCTGCACTGGAGCTGTGAGAAGCAATTGATTATATACTTGGAGTTGGGGGAGGTAAGAGAAAAAGGAGGTTTTCAAAAGAAATGTCATAAGCTCAAGAGGACCTACGAGATACTGGAGGCCTTGCCATTGTCAAGGTTCTAGTAAAGGTAAAAAAAAAAGCAAAGTAAAAAAAAAAAAATCCTTCTAGTAAAGGATTAACATTAAGACAGCTGGGAGTTTCCTTCTGGAAGTTAGGCTATTGATAAGAATGCTTTTTTTCTTGTAAATCACTAAGACATTTGTAAACTGAGGGGCACTCAGTCCTGTTGGACTGAGATCTCTATTAGTTAACCATTTGTTTTTCCCTTTCCTTAGTTTTGGGGCAGGCAGGAGGGCCTGAGGAATGTCACACAGATGCCACCTGGGAGTGGGTAGTCAGCTTGTGCTTTGTC